GTGACAGAGTAAAAGGTTGTAGGTAACCGGAAGAGTTAGGGGTGAGGTAACAGCTTTATAGGAGTTACAGTGAACGAGCACGTAGACTCAGTAAGAAGTCATACAGCGATACTTCAATACCAAAGACTGTATATATATTTTGCTACTAACCCGCATTCCTGGAACTACTAACCTGCTTTACCAGTTTGTATTATTACGTTTATACATTATTTTCATATATTCATTCCTGGCGTTTGTTATTTATTGGTACCGGATTTCATCCCGGAATCCACAAAGGTTTGCTACTATGGAAGGGACATGGCGGGTCCTAGCGGAACTGGCGGACTCAAAAACTGTAGTTCGTCCGAACACTTTCAGTGGAATTAGCGATAAAGCAGTGAGAGACTCACCACATCCCGCCTGTGAGAAAGAGAGGTTGAAGGGTGGAAAATAATTCATCTCCAACAAAGACTCAGAGACGCTTTTGAACTCTATCAAGACTGGAAAATGAGGACTGGGAAACTCCTGCCCAAATATTACAACAATACTTCATTTTCGGCCTGATCTGGCTCTTATAAAGGTAGAGGATAGCATGAGGAGCCAGGTACAGGGAGACGATTATTTTACCTTCATTTTTAGCGATGGATCGTATGTAGTTCCACTTGAGGTCAAGTGTGAATTTGTGGTCTGATATTCTCTCAAGGCATGGAACCTTCTCGAGGAGACATCCGTTCATCGTGACTGGCGGTAGTTTGGAATCTGATTATAAAAGTCTCTTCTTATCTTCGTATGTTCAAATGCTATGGATATTATAGAATTCTGTTATAATATGGTGTGGGGGAGGCACGGTGGAGTAATGAATTGTCGCTCAGCTTGAAGAATCACAGAACCGAGTTCGAATTCCGGTCAAGTTTGTTACATTTACTTACGTCGTAACAGGTATGAATCCGTCTCTTCTCGCCAGCTTAAGGATAAATAGCGGAACAGACTGGGCCCTGTAGCCTTGGTTGGTTACCAGTCTATAGTCGAATCTTCCTCTCTCTCTCTCTCTCTCTCACACACACACACACACTCCCTCTCTCCCCCCCTCTCTCTCTCTCTCTCTGTGATAGTTTTCTGGATTCCGTCATCACATGACAAAATGAAATATTATTACGAGCTGGAAGAAAAACAATTCATAGCGTGGCGACATGCGAATTCCACATCAAAGCAAACTCTCATGACGCAGGCATGAACCGAGAAAGTGATGTGCAGCAAAAGTGATGACAGCAAAAGTGTTGTCCTACTGAGACAAATCCTGAACTCTGATCGTTATATCAGGATATCTTCAAATTATATCTGAATTCAAACCATCTTTTGCCTTATAAGCCTTGCCTCTTTAACTTCTGCGAGGACGGACACGGTGGCCCCCAACAACTCCGGTGCAAAAGGAACCGTCATATCATTGCACTATTTTTGCCTTAAATATCACCGTGAAACACAATTGTGAGATAAGGATGAGTGGTGACCACATGGGTGTCTCAAAATGCGTAAATAAATGATGAGGATTATACGATGCTTTCCCACATCTAAAAGGCTTGCTGTATCTCAACGCTTTCTCATATCAATAGTTAAAAATGGCTGCGTGCGAATGTAGCATATAGGTTAGGAAAGAAACATCTCTCAGTAGTGGAAAGAGCGATAACAGTTAGTGGATTTGAAAAAAAAAATTCCATTGAATATAAAACTCGGCATGACAGGTTGGGCCAATATTTATACTGGAAAATTTGCAACTTTTACAGAAAAGAAACTGCAAGAAATTGGTATGAACACAACTCAAACCGGGTTACAGACATAGTACCTGTAATAATTTTAGGGTACTTTACAATACACACTAATCGCCCGCAAAATAGAATGCGCTTTCTAAATAAGTCCCTGCAGACTGTAATGCATCTTTCACTATCAAAATACAAGCATCTTGAAGTGGAAATCTCAAAAATATAGCACATGAAGACATTAATAATTCTATTTGTGGTTGGAGCCCTCGGACTGATTGGAAAAGGTACCCATAGACTCACTGAAGGGGATCCCTCGTAGCTTATGTCTTAACAGAAATACAAAATTATTGTTCTCACAAGTACAGTTCACACCTTATGAATGAGATTTAGCTAGGCAAAATGTGTGCGATCTTAGATGGTCTTATTTTTATTTATTTTTTTTTTTACAAAAATATTTAGTGGAAAATGCCATGATACCATTTCTGGCCTTACGTCTCTGTTTGGGACCCAGAAGTCAAAGGAAATAATAATAATAATAATAATAATAATAATAACAACAACAACAATTGATCATTTTGCATCAGGTTGCATGGTATTGGCACCCACTGAATATAAAACCCGGCATGACAGAGTTGGTCAATATCTGTACTGGAAAATCTGTAACTTCTACGGAAAGGAAAGTGAAAGAAAGTGGTATGAACACCACCCAGACCCGGTTACGGAGATAGGACCTGTTACAATTTTATGGGAGTATACAATAGACACAGACAGAACAAAGTTAACCGACCAGACATTGTTATTAGAGACCGCACACAAAAAATTCCTTCCTTATTGATATGGCAGTTCCTGCAGACTGCAATGTATCTTTGAAGATATTCAAAAAGCTGTCAAGGACCTTGAAATAGAAATCTCAAAAATGTGGCACATGGGAACATCAACAATCCCCGTTGTAGTTGGAGCCCTCGGATTGGTTGGAAAAGATTCCAGTAGATTAAATGAAGGGATTCCTGGAAGCCCATGCCTTAAAGAAATACAAAAAATTGTTCTCACAAGTACAGCCCACACCTTACGAAAAGTTTTGTCTATGTAAAATAAGTTTTTTTTTTGTCAGTGAAAATGTCATGATGCCATTTTTAACCTTAGGTCTCTGAGTGGGACTCGGAAAGAAATGTGTACACACCAGAAATCAAAGGAATAATAATGATAATAATAATAATAAATCCTTCTGTGGAATGTACCCTAGGCGTCTGGATGAATTAGACATCGATTTTCTCCAAAACTAGCAATGGCTTATAATCAGTAACCTTAAGGAGGTGACAGTAGGCAAAAGATCAATATCTTCCAACTCATATCAACAATGGTGAAATCAACAAAGATGGTTCAAATCCCGCCTGTCGTTTATTCGAGAAATTTGATAAGACCGTTGACCGCATAGTATCAGGGTGCCCAGACCTTGAGGGGAATAAATATATTATTAGACGTGACAGGCGAGAACATTGTCATGTCTGATCGAATTATGGTACTGAAGTACCGGAAACATGGCACAAACACCAGCCAAATGATGTCATAACTGGTGATAGAGTGACTATGCTGAAGAATTCCTCAGTCCTCATTGACAGGAAAACTGATGCAAATACACCAGACATAATCATAAGAGATTAAAAAAAGAAAAGAAACCTGCCAACTAAATGATCTGACTTACCCGCAGGATTCCAATGTCTGTAAAAAAAAAGAATTTCAAAAGTATAAGCACCTGCAAATCGAAGTAACAAAAGTTTGGAAACTTAAAACTACAATTGTCCCTGTTGTGATAGAGGACATGGGGTATAATAAAGAAAAGTACGGAAAATGATGTGAGTAAATTTTCTGGACACATTAGACTCTCGGAGCTACAAATATTAATTTGCGCGGAACAGAACATATCATCCATAAAACTCTCTCCATCTAAAATAAACGTCTCAAATGTGCATAGATAACGCTCCTAAAGCGCCCTTTTTACTCACAGACCCCGGAGGGGGCTTGATAATGATATAATGGAATATGCATACACCTGTGTTCCCCCTCACTGGAGTGTGATTGGATGGTGTCCGTCATAAATAGAGACGGACGTGTAGGAGAGTCAGAAGAGGAGAGCCTTAGTCTCAGAGCTAAGTCTATAACGACGCCCATTGGACTACGACGCGTATCAGTCGATTACTGCTACCGTATTCTACTTGGTTATAGTAGCCAAAACCACTTAGCTACTTCGTTCAAATAGATCCCTTTACGGGACATATCAGATAATTAGGCACTTAAAATTTCTCTCTGACAAGATGATATCACACAATGATAATTCGTTCAGGTCACTAATTGTCCCATCTATAATTGGAGCGCTGTGATCTGCATCAATAATCCTTGTATCGCATCGCTTCAGAATTCTTCGTTGCTTGGAACTGCAAATATTCCACGAAAAGTATCCTTTGGCTGATGCTGTACGACTTTATGCAAAATGTCCGGGTTAAAAACTGTGTCAAAAAAATGGAGCGCCCAACTAATTGACATGAATTGCCCACAAGATTCCAATGTTTCTAAAAAAAAGAATTTCAAAACTGGCAATTTTGTGCAAATCATCCACAAAACCGTCTCCATCTAAACGAAACTAATTGATCTGATTTGCATACAGGATTCCAATATTTCTAAAAAAGAATTAAAAAAAAATCCGTGTTGTGATAGGGGACATTGGGTATGATAAAGAAAGGTACCAAAAATCGTGAGTAAAATTCGTGGATGCATCAGACTCTCAGAGCTACAAAAGATTATTTTGATTTGAACTTCATTTAATTTTAATTTGAACTGTCAAATTATAAGGACCTGCGAAGCGAAGTAACAAAAATGTGGTAACTTAAAACTACAATTATCTGTGTTGTGATAGGAGACATTGGGTATGATAAAGGTACGGAAAATCATGGGAGTAATATTCCTGGACGCATCAGACTCTCAAAGGTACAAAAGATTTGATTGACTGAGTGGTTCATTTTCTACGGATTATCAACCCATTAAATGGTTATTTAAAGCCAGAAAATATTTTTATAAGAATTTTCTTTTACACAATAATGAGTTAGTGATACAAGTCTTACTAAGTAACCCATAGTTTGGAGGGTGAATTCATATCATTCCCAAGTGTATTTGCGCGCAAGTAAATAAACTGAACGCAACTGGAAATGGAACTCGGCTCTTCGATTAACAATTGCAAGCTATTATCCACTACGCCATAAGCTCATCAAGCTTACAGCACCTGGCATACCTGAACGGTCACCCATCTAGGTACTGACTAGGCTCGACGTTGGCTTAACATTGTTGATCGTACAGGAACCGGTGTTTCATCGGGATATGGCCGTATTACAAAAGATTACTTTATGCAGAACTGCGAATATCTACATATCTCCCCCACCCCATCTGGACGAAACGTCCCAAATATGCATAGATAACTCTCCTATGGCGTCTCTTTTACTGATAAACCCCAGCGGTGACTTGGTAATTATGCACTTGAAATTACAACTGGGAGGATGATACCATACAAAATACTGCTGCTGCTGCTGCTACTACTACTACGTCCTGGGTATGACGATAAACTACATCCGCGTCCTGGGTATGACGATAAACTACATCCGTGTCCTGGGTATGACGATAAACTACATCCGCGTCCTGGGTATGACGATAAACTACGTCCAACAACAAGGCTTCAGATAATGTTTTCGGAAAAATAATGTTGCCAGCTATACGTTTTTGAAACAATAATGTTGACAGCTATACGTTTTTTGGAAAAAATAATGTTGCCAGCCATACGTTTTTGAAACAATGTTGCTAGCTATACGTTTTTTTGGAAAAAATAATCTTGCCATCTGTGACGTCCCCCCGCTCGTTCGTTCGGGTGTCGCCGCTCCAAACGTGACGTCCGCCTGTCTGCATCAGTCGTGCTATCCCGTCCTGTGACGACCAACTGGCTTGGTATTGGTCGCGGCACCCAAATGTGACGTTCTAACCTTTTGGTGATTCGGATGGGAATCTGGTTAGATTCGATATCAGCCTCGTCGTTCCCAACTCGCCTCCAACGTCTGGTTACCGAAGTAACTACGTTGATCTCCAGTCTGCCTACCCACATTGTGAATTGATCTTAGGCAGACGAAATCAATCAGTCGTCGGGGCCGTAATGCAAGTCGAGTTCGAATAAGGGTGGTATCGCACAATTAGATGTAAAAGAAAAGAAAATAACAACTCGAAAAGTTCAAAGGTATTTAAAAAAAGGATAACAATATTTTATATCTGGTTGCTGGATACAGGACCACGTCTATCTCCCAACCCGCTATATGGATTCGTGACACGTTGTTTTTGTTAGGCGAGTCTTAACATCTTAAGTTGTCTGTTCTTTAAGAAACTGGTTCTTGGTGTGTCTTCAGGCGATATTCGTAAAACTTGTTTTGGTGGTATGAGTCTAAGTCGTTCTTCAAAAATAAATTGTTCTTGATTAGAAAATGAGTTCGGAAGTTGCGCGAATCTTGGTCAGCTCTGCGAGGTCCTGCCAATTCCAACCGGGTCTGGGTCTGGATCTGGAACTGATTTTCGCTCACTGCGACTTTGCTTATATGGACGCCGACCCAAACCGGGATGGGCTCGTCGGGGGTTTGAGGTTCCTTTGATAATTCCAAATCCACAATCCCCTTCTTTTGTTTTCGGACAGGAAAAATTTATTATTTCCATTTTGGAAGTCTTCTCTTACTCCCACCTTCTTCTGTTCTCATATGGGTCTCTTTACCATACCCTCAGAAGGCATCAACGGTTTTCCTACCTTCGCAGTAACATCTCATACCTATCCCTTAATGGGTGGTAGCAGGCCTCTCCCCCTGCATCACATGATCACCTCCGCCTGGCTCTCGTTAACATTCATCCAATTGGCGTTGAACAGTGTGGGTGTGACCAGACTAGCCTTGTTTTTGTTTTTTTTAAATATCTTGCTCAAAGAGAAAATTATCTCCTCTTTTTCTTTTTTTTTTCTATTTCCTTTCTTTCTTTTCTTTCTCTCTTCTTCTCTGGCCGCCAACAGAACAATACGACCCGTAGTGTGATAATTCTTATCCCAAAGTCACTTTCATATGAAATTCGTCAATCAGATTTTCGCCAGCACCAAGTGGCTTGTCAACCAGACACATTCACTCTCCGGCAGCAACCACTGATACGATGAAACGACTTCGCCATTTTCTGATAATATTGTTTCACTGTCATAGTCAAATTTCAACACAAAACAGACACCTTGTCTAACGATATCTTTCCATCGACAAAGACTTAACCTATTTTCTTTTTTTTTTTTTTTTGCAACTCGTGTGTGGTCAGGACATTCTTATTTCTCGGTCAACGGAAAATCTTTTCCCGATAATATAAGTTCGCCACCATGACACAGTTAATTTTTTTATCTATTCAAAACTCTGTATCTGCTTATTTGGCCGCTTCTGGACTTCGCCAATTAGCTTTTCGACAATAGCCATAAAATTTTCACCATTCTTCATTATCAAAATAACATCGCTAAATGCCCCTTTTGTGATGGCTTTCCTTTATCATCTAAGTTTTAACTCTCGCCTCTCTTTTTCTTTCTTTTTTTTCTTCCTTTTTCCATGCAGCCCTAAATGGTGTCACACAGCTATACGTTTTTGAAACAATAATGTTGCCAGCTATACGTTTTTTGGAAAAAATAATGTTGCCAGCTATACGTTTTTGAAACAATGTTGCCAGCTATATGTTTTTTTGGAAAAAATAATGTTGCCAGCTATACCTTTTTGAAACAATAATGCTGCCAGCTATAGGTTTTTTGGAAAAAATGATGTTGCCAGCTATGTGTTTTTGAAACAATAATGTTGCCAGCTATGCGTTTTTTGAAACAATAATGTTGCCAGCTATACGTGTTTTGGTAAAAATAATGTTGCCAGCTATGTGTTTTTGAAACAATAATGTTGCCAGCTATGCGTTTGTGAAACAACAATGTTGCCAGCTATATGTTTTTGAAAAAATAATGTTGCCAGCTATATGTTTGATAGTACTGTATATTTAATATGTGTATGTATATATATATATATATGTGTGTGTGTGTGTGTGTGTGTGTGTGTGTGTGTGTGTATGTATACCTTAATTTGGCATTAAATGACCCACAGTGGTTGATATGCCATAAAACCCAACCAATCAACTAATAATAATAATAAAGAAAATAACTGACGTAACTCTTCAAATATTTTCAACACTTAAAAGAAAAGCGCGATTTTAGAAAAGATAAAGGATAGAAAAAAAAAAGTTTTTTTTACAAAGACTTGAAACAGATTTTAATCAGTTTCAATATGAGTTTCCAACATTCAAAATGAACTTCCATTACATCATGATTAATGTCTACCGTCAGAAAAATTTAACCTCAACATCAACCTACTGCAACATTTTATGACCCGACTTAGTACACAATATTAGCAATCTAGCTGAAACATACAAACAGCACAAGAACATTTGTGACAAACCATTTTGAACAGGCTCATACCAAAGCTCGCACATAAAATATTCCAAAAATAAAGCCGTCTTGGATATGACGATAAGCTACATCTGCGTCCTGGGTAAGACGATAAACTACATCCGCGTCCTGGGTAAGACGATAAACTACATCCGACAGCAAGGCCTTTGATCAAGAGGTTTTGAGGAGCGTGGAACCACCTCTTAATTGCTGGTGTTCTCAGGTCTACCCTGATCCGGAGTGGTAGCACACGTTAGGGTCCCAGCTATGGGCAAAGAGTTAACCACCAAACTGGGGTGAAAACACTATGAAAGTGTAAAAATAGGTTTTAATACCAGCAATACATTTTTGTAAAAAAAAAATATTACCAGCGATGAATTTAAAAAAAAAAAAAAAATATTACCAGCTATACATTTAAAAAAAAAAAAACATTGCCAGCAATACTTTTTTTCCGGAAAGGTATTACCAGCAATACATTTATGAGGAAAAAGTATTGCTAGTATTTGGAGCGAGATATTGTCAGCAATACATTTTCGAACAAAAAATATTACCAGCAATAAAAATTAAATAACCCATTGAGGTTGATATGCTGTAAAACACAACAAACCAAATCAAAAATAAAGTAGCCATTATAGAAATATAGAATTTAATGAAAATTAGTTTAACGATTTCTCAGTGGGTTTTTGAAAAAGAAATACTATTTCATTTTAATAATAATAATAATAATAATAATAATAGTGACAGTTAAGAGAAAAGCGCAATTTAAGAAATGATAAAGAAAAGAAAAAACACATTGTTTGGCAATGTTAAACAATATTTCAACAGAATGTCTGTCTTGTCCAAGTTATATTTAAACGATTTTTTCAAGTATAAAAATATATATATATATCTACAAAAATTATTATAAGTCTTTGTACAAATGTCGTTTTTTTCTTTTTTTTATCTTATCTTAAATCCCACTCTTCTGTTAACTGTTGAAAAATATTGAAAGAGTTAATTCAATCATTTGGTTTAATAATAATTTAATAATAATAATAATAATAATAATAATGACTAGCTACTCGTTTCTGAGTATACCGCTCTGCCAGGGTGGCTAGCTAATCACTATCGCAGGCATAATTAGGCTGCGTCATCACCCACAGGGCCAACCTATAGTTTATACTGCAACTATGCCGAACAGACCTGAGTTACGGTCTTTTGGAGAGAACGCATAATCGGGAATGATCAACAGTTTTGAACAAGGCCTGTACTTTTTTCCGGAAAGGTATTGCCAGCAATATATTTTTGAGGAAAAAGTATTGCCAGTATTTGGAGGGAGATATTGTCAGCAATACATTTTTGAACAAAAATATTACCAGCAATAAAAATCTTGTCGGCATTAAATAACCCATTAAGGTTGATATGCAGCCATTATAGAAACATGGGATTTAATGAAAATTAGTTTAGCGATTTCTCAATGAGTTTTTGATAAGAGATACCATTTCAACTGAATAATAATAATAATAATAATAGTTAATAGCCCGATTTAAGAAAACATAAAGAAAAGATAAACAAAGTGTTTGACAATGTTAAACAATATTTCGACAGTATGTCTGTCTTCTTCAAATTATATTTTACATTTTTTTCAAATATAAAAATATATAAATCTACAAAAAATTACAAGTCTTTCTACAAACGTTTCGGTATTTCATTCGTCTTGAATTTCTTTTCTTAAATCTTGCTCTTAACTGTAATAATAGTAAGAAGAAGACACGAGATCAACTGAATAGAATTTTTTAAAAATCTCTCACCAGGTAATTTAATAAGAGGAGCTGTTATTGACTGACCAGAGTCCTTGGCAAAGAAGACATGCAAGGAC